CTTTTACCTTTTCATTTATAAATATAATGTATTTAGCAAACAAACCTACAAAACGTAACTTGCTCAAATTTATTGCCAGCTTTTATGATCCCTTGGGATTAATGACTCCTGTTATTGTAAGATGGAAAACTTTATTCCAGTCGGTTTGCAAATTAAAATTTGGATGGTGTTGACCTATAGAAAATGATATTTTAAATGAATGGGAAGAAATAATTTATGATTTAAGTTCGGTTACCTATATTAGTATACCTAGGTGGTACAGTTAGTCTGTAGATAATGTTCAATTTACGAAATTTGAATTATTTGGTTTTTGCGATGCAAGTTTAAAAGCGTACGGGTGTTGCATTTATTTGAGAAGTAGCAATGAAGAGTTTGCGAATTCTTGTCTAGTTTCCTCCAAATCAAGAGTTTCGCCTTTAGTTAAAAATACAATTCCGAGATTAGAATTAAGAGCAATGTTATTGTTAGCTAATTTTTTTACGGTTGTATATAAAGAGTTGTCATGTGTTTTAAACATTTCTTGTGTAAAACTTTTTTCTGATTCCATTATTTGTTTAAATTGGGTAAATAATATAAATAAAAAAATATGAAGCGTTCATTCAAAAACGCTTAGAAAAAATTCGTTCTTTATACGATATTACATTATGGAATTTTATTGAAAGCGAAAGAAATCCCGCTGATTTTATATCTCGTGGATGTAAGTTAAGTACCTTTCAAAACAATGATCTATGGTTTAAAGGCCCAAGTTTCTTATATAACAAATTTGTGTTATGGCCTTCCTATAACTTAATTGGTCTCGGAGATTCTTTTCTGAAGTAGTAGTTACCTTATTAACTTCAGATCATTATAGTTTAAATTTAGATTTTATTGATATTAAAAACTTCAAAACATACGATCGTCTCCTAAAAGTGACAGCCTTAATTTTACGTTTTGTCAATATTATTAAGAAAAATAAGTAATTATATTTTATCTACTCCTACAGCTTCCGAATTAGAACAGACAGAGTCATTATGGATTAAGTTTATTCAAAAAAATGTTAAATATAACGATTCTTATAACCAATTGAAAAAAGATTTGGGTTTTTTTTTAGTTGAGGGAATAATTCGTTCTCACAGTTGACTAAGTAATGCTCAATTACCGTTTAATTCTAGATTTCCAATATATTTACCAAAATGTTCTCCCATTACAAACTTGATAATCTTGCACTTCCATTCACTTAGTAAGCATAGTGGTGTTAAGGAAACATTAAATGGATTATGATCAAAATTTTGGTTGTCAAAAGCCCGAAATCAAATTAAGAACATAATTAAGGACTGCTACATATGCAGAAAATACGATAGTAAACCTTTCATTTATCCTTAAGCTCCGCCTCTACCTCTATCTAGACTTAATGATGATTATGCTTTTAAGTACGTAGAAGTAGATCTTTGCGGTCCAATAATGTTAAAAAATATATATGAAAATTGCGGAATTTATAAAGCTTGGATATTTTTAGCTACATGTTGTAGTACACGTTATCTTTATTTAGATTTGGTTCCCGATTGTACAGCAGAAGCTTGCATTCGTGGTATTCGTAGATTTATTGGACGCTTTAGCGCACCTTATCAATTTATAAGTGATAATGGTTCTAATTTTACTGCCGAAGAAACTCAGAGATTTGCAAGTGTTCGACGAATTTGTTAGAGTTTCAATATTCCTGCCGCTCCTTGGTGGGGAGGGATATTCGAAAGATTGATTCGAATTACCAAAGGAACTCTTAAGAAGACCCTAGGTACAGCAAGACTCACATACGAAGAAATGCTAACGTCGCTAGCCGAGATTCAATCGATAACTAACAACCGTCCGATCACGTTCACATACGAAGTCCCCGCAGACAAACCACTAACACCAAATCATCTATTATATTGAAGAAAAATTCGCCTTGAATCCGTGGCTTCAAACATATCTGTCAAGTGAATGACGAAAGAGTAAGATTTGAAAAACTAAAATCAATTATAAATCAATTTTGGAATATTTGGAGAACAGAATATTTAACTTCATTGCGCGAGTTTCATAAAAGTATCACACATCAAAACTCTGGTTTTATTGCAAATATTGGTGATGTTGTGATTGTGGACGATCCAAATGCTCCTCGTGCAATTTGGAAAATGGGAGTCGTTCAAAGTTTAATACCATCAAGCGATGGAAAAGTACGAGCAGCTGAAGTGAGAATAATATCTGGTGATAAACCATTAGTTATTAAAAGAACATTAAACAAATTATACCTTTTGGAAAATTATAAAGATAATCCGAAAAAATTAACTACATTTGTTGATAAAAGGAACATTCCTTTAATAAACAATTCAACAGTGCCGGGCGCAGTGTTGCGTTAGTGTGATAACGCAACAGCCAGTTTAGCTTCTTGAGCATGCCCGCGAAATTGGACTATTTAAAGTAATGCGGCATGCTCTCTCTCTCTCTTACTCTTACGTTCTTACGCTCTGAAATGCCTTTTAACACTTTATTCTTAACGCTGTATTTATCTTGTGTTAATTAGAAATATATTATAAGTAATACTCAAATCGCATTTATTCTAAAGATACTACGTTCCCCACAGTAGTAGTCTTTTTACTACCAATATTGGCTAAATCTTTTTCCAATAGATAAGTATTTCCTACCTTCAAAACCATTACATATACTGTTTAATCAAAACATCAAAAGTTAGCTACAGCTGCTCAAACAACATTTCAAAAATCATAAAAAGTCACAACAAAAAAGTAAATTCAAAAAACACAACTGAAAATTTACTTTGCAATTGAAAACCAAAGAATTCTGCTTATTAAATAAATGTTGTACCGAAAAAAATATAATTTACAAATGCAAACCATCTTCCACAAACACACCCATAAAAACATACATTTGTTTATTAGAGGAAGTATGAAAAGGAGAATGCAAATCATAAGCATTCATTTGAAAATAGACTTTCAAAGGCAACCACGCTCTTAAAATATGTATAAAAAATGAGAATAAACTCAATGAAACTCCTGAATTAACTTGATCTCTCCTAAAAAGAGCCCCTGCACACAACAATACAACAAACAATACAACAAAAAAAAATGTTTACTTTGTTGATACAAAAAAATAAAAACTTTATAAAAATGCGCAAGAGCTACTGAATAATAAAACATAGTTAGTTTCCAAATGTCGTCACAAAAAAAAATTTCTTGTAAGCAATCACAAACCTGAAGATTCATGACTTATTTTTAAGTTTAAAGTAAATTAAAAATAATTTCAAAAACAATTCGAAAAAAATCTGCAATTAAAACAGTCAAAGAGATCTTAGTAGAAAAACTGCATCAAAGTATAACTTACATTTAAAGACGACAGGATCAGATGTTACGAGAGATTTTAACTTCAAAAATAATAAAACAAATCACACATAACTGAAGTCTAAGTTTTTAACTCAGACTTGTTTTGAGTGATTTGTTTTAATTTGAGCCGAGGGTTTTTTCCAACGTATAGCGTTGAAAACGAAGCCCCTTAAATATATCATGAACAAGTATGTAAGATTCTTGATTGGCCAGACTTATAACCAAATTGTTTATTGTACAAAATATTATTTTTGATTAAGAAAGAATAGTCTATTATACATAACTTATCCTACAATTTTCAAAGGCGCTGTTGTTATAACTTTTATTGAGTTTGCAATGTTGCTTTAACTCATATTGCTTTTTGCTATATTTTTGTCAAGCTTAATCAAAAAAAATGAAAATTATAATTTTTTTTTGGTTTATTTTTTATTAGACAATATTAGTATTATTAGTAACTAAATATTTATCAAAGTTGGTTTGAGAGGATTTAATTCTAAGGAAGGACCAAAAATAATTAAAAGTTTAATTTCAATCCTTAAGAAGGACCAACATTAATTAAAAATTCATTAAGTGTTTCAGCGACTTTGTTTTTTTATAATATCGCTCTTATTAAGTTTAAGAAATTTTAGAAAACTATTTCTGTCTCAATTTTTCATTATTTGTTACCATGTACTTTGAGGATCATTTGAATGCTTTTTTATTTTTTCTGAGTACTGTCTTTTTTAAAATCTCTATAAAATTGACTTAAAAAGGTGCTTATAATTTTATATTTAATTTCATTATGAAAGGTTTTTTTTTTAAATAGTTGTTGTATAATCCTTGTTTTTTTCGGAGGATTTAAAAAAACTTTTACTTATCCTTGGATTTCGTAGCATTTTTGATTTGAACAAAATTTCCAAAATGAACAAATGAAGATCTTAATTTGATCTAATAAAGCTCTGGTTTTGCACATTGGTTTATTGATGACAGAAATATAACTACTTTTAAAAATGACATTTAGAAATTGTTTAACGATTCTATTTGTATCATAATCCAAAATTTTCATTTAGGTTCAAATACTAATCATATCTTTTTTTTTTTAAATCGAGTTTTATAATAACGTTCTTAATGTGATTTTCAAACACTTTGAATTCTTCAATTCATTATTATATCCAGCCTTTTTTTTAATGATAATTTTGAAGCATTTTTAAATTTTAAATTAGGAAAAATTGAGTAAATTGAGTAAATTGATATCCTGAAAGTTAAGGAAATATTCATTTAACGTTTATGCGCCGGTTTAAACAAAGCAACACTAAGAAACATTTATTTTCTTAAAATTGCTTTGAATTCATAAAAATCCTGTAAAACTCATATTTTTTACTTCACTAAAACAAAATTCCTATTAAGAATTTTAAATGGATATAGTTTAAATAGTGAATTGAATGGTGTTTTATCACTATAAATTTTCAGACCAGGTGCACTTTGCTAAAAAAAGATACTTCGTTTCGAAAAATACCTTACTCTTTTTATTTTTTTTACCATTACAAATTTTTAATGATTTTTATAGATATATTTTCAATTAAAAATATTGAAACTAATGTATTAAATCATTTTTTTCTAATGTACCTCCGTGTTAAACTCTTGCATTTTTTAATAATATGTTTACTTTAGATATCTTTCAACTTGACAACATCAAATAATATAAAAATATTCAAACACTTTGTTGACCTTAAAAAAGTAAACAAAAATGTCTGGCATGACACTAAAAGAATATAAAGATTCACTTTTACTGTCGATCAATGAAACTAATTTTACTAGACTTGATGACACCTTTTCTTGTGAGTGTTTAGAAAAAAAAGAAATATTTCAAAGTTCTGAAAAAGAAAATATACTTTTTGTATCCAGAACAGTCATAGAATGGTGTTCTGAACTATTTTTCAGACATTTCAACAATCTATCTAATCATTCAAGTCAAAAAGATTTTATTAATCGTATCAACACTTTATTAATAAATGAAATGGTAGATAAAAGTATTCCAATTGTTATTGGAGCTTATTCAATAATTTTTACATTTGGCTATAAACACAAAATCAAATTTGGCACTTCCTTTGAACTTTGTTCAAAAAAGTTTAATTTAGAACAAAAAATTCATTGCTTTATCAGTAGTTTAAAAGTTGGCAAAAAACCCTACATTGAAGTTGGTGTACTTTTTGGATTCTTAGAAGTAAAAAAGTCACCAAAAAGTATTTTTGAATTTTATATTCTTATTAAAGAGCAAATTTCACCAACAAAAATTTTGATTCAAGTAAAAGAATATCTTTTGTTTTGGAAAGATGAAGACGTTAAAAGCGTATTGGAATACCTCCAAGATGATAAAAGTCTAGAGCAATTCTTTTTGCCTCATTCAAAGAGTTTACATTTTTCTGAAATGTTAAAATTATACGAAAAAATCAACTTTACATCTTACATGAATAACAACTTTGAAATAAAACACGAAAACAAAATATGTCGAAAAGATCTTTATTCTGTTGATCTATTTCATAGTCAGTCAAGTGAAGTAACCAAAGATTGTGCAAAAGGTGAGCAATTTTTATTTTTAAAACAGCTTTTGTCTTTGAACTATAACTGCAGAAATCCAGAGTCCATTAAAAAGACTGAATACAGTGACCATGAAGCCAAATTAAACAATGACGATTATAACGATGACGATGATGGTTTTCCAGAACTATTGGTTAACTCGTTTGCAAATAAAATGCATGATAAAAAAAAAAGTAATGCCGATTTAGTATATGAAGTTTTCTCAGTATGTGACAACTTTCTTCTTCAAGATGTGTATGAAAAAATGACGTTGTGTCAGTTAGCAGTTCCAATTGTAAGTCCACGAAAAGGAATAAACGTGTTTCACTTGTGGGCAACACGAACTGTTAAAAAAATATGGGTAACATATTCATCTCAAAATGAAATTCAAAATCATGAAAAGTTTATAACAAAACAAAATATGGCAACTATTACTTTCTGCAGAATAGGTTCTACTCGTGTTTCAAAGTCCAAAGTTGCAAATTTATTTTTATCTTCTGCTCAAGGATGGCAAGAACATTCTTATTTTATTAACAGAGATATTGACTCGAAGTCAAAACTTAACCGGGGATGCATTGAATTATGCTGGTATTGTCCTGATGGAAGAAAACAAGAATGTTTAAAAGATATTCACTGCATTTATAATCTGAGAGGAAATGCGTTAAAAAATAATGAACAGTTTCAGTTTTTATTAAATGTTTCTTCTGTAATTATAATCATTGTTGAAAAAAGTTTAGAACAGAATGTAAAAAAATTAATTAATTTAATGGATGGGTTTATTGTTGTCGTAGATCTGTCTCATTTAAATTATATAAAAAGCAAAAATGGCAAACGAATTATCTTTGGTGCTCTTGGTATGAATTTAAAAGAACTCTCCAAAAATTTGGTTGAACTAATTTCATCATTTAAATTAAAGGTTATGAACTTGGATGATCATGCTTCTCATGCTCTTAAATTAAAAATGGAGGTAGATGAAAATAATGAAGCTTGTCAATTAGGAAAACAAGCTGCTAATGATTTTGTTAATAAACTCAAGCGTTATAGTATTAAATCATTAAAAGACAGTGTCTTACCTTTACAAGGAAAAGAATTTTGGATAAAATGGGGAGAAATAGACAAACAAGTAGCTCGACAACAATTTGTTAATCCAGAAAATATCATGAACGATAGCGATGAGCAACGTACGCGAAAATTAAAAGTTAGAGATAGTCAACTCCAAAAAGGAGCAAGCTCTGAATTAATATTTTTTATGGAGCGATTGCTTTTGTTTAAAAACACAATAATGCAACACTATTTTATTGCTTGGTGTCAGTTAATTTTAAATGAAATATCCGAGACACATTTGCCTCAAATACTTAGAGAATACAAAAGTTCCAAAAAGAGCCTTTCCAAGCTTATAGATCAAATGCCATCAGAAAGAAACAATGGCACGGAAACTATCACTCCGGAATATGTCCAAAAGTCAATTGATCAAGAAAATAATATAATAAAAAAATTATCAGAAGATATTGATCTTGTATCTTTTGGATTTGAACATATCTTCAGAGAGTTTAGTCAAGTTTATGAAAGTTATTATGAAAAGTCGGAACGCATATCTAGTTGCGTTTCATTTTTGCCTAAGTTAGTAGCTGACCTAGTTATAATGGGATATCCGCTAGAGATTTTGGATGGGGATGCCTCCCATATTCCTTTTATTTGGGTAAAGCAGGTGCTATTTGAAGTTAAAGTAAAACTTGGTAAAGATGTCAATGTATTTGTGCTTTCTGTTTTGGGTATCCAAAGCACTGGAAAATCAACTCTTTTGAACACAATGTTTGGAACAAAGTTTGCAGTATCTTCTGGACGGTGTACAAAAGGTGTGCATATTCAGCTAATCCCAGTTTCAAGCAATATGTGTAAAATACTTAACTGTGACTACTTTATTGTAATGGATTCTGAAGGACTAAGACCTCCCGAAAAAAATGATTCTTTTAAGCAAGATAACGAAATAGCTACTCTTATTGCATGTCTTTCAAATACAACTATTATAAACTTTATGGGACAAACAATTAGCAAAGAGATGTCTGACATATTAGAAATTGCTTTACACGCCTACATTCGTATGAATAAAGTTCAGATTAAATCGTCTTGCCACATGGTTTTTGCATGCACATCAGATGTCACTGCAAAAGATAAAAACACGCTTGGAGTATATCAAGTTTTTAAAGAGTTAAACACATTAATTAAAAAAATTGCCATCGAAGAAGGTAGAGATGATTTGTTTGGCGGTCTACATTTTGTATTTCCTTTGATTCAGGAACAGTTTGACAAGCTAAATTTAACACAAAAATTAAATTATCCAGAACATCTACCCAACCTTTGGAAAGGATATATGAGCCCACCTGAATCAACATATGGAGAAATTCTTCTTGAATTAAGAGACTCTATTTGTAACGGTATGATGAAAAATTATAAAAGTATAATAAAATGTCAACCACTGACAGAGTTTATACTCAGACTTAATGATTTATGGAATGCAATAAAACAAGAAAATTTTGTCTTTGGTTTTAAAAACAATCAGGCAATTCAGCTGTTTAAAAAATTACAATTGTTTTATGAAAATAAAATTTCTATATTAAAAAAAGAAATCTATGAAGAATCATATTGTTTAGGCAATGAAGTGCTCCATCAACTTGATCCGTTGAAGAAAAAGGATGAATTAACAAAATTTTTAATAAAATTTAACAAATTAAATCTAAAATTTAGCTACTGCAAAGGAAATGTAAAAAAAGAGCTAGAAGAATATGCATGGAGTATGTCAGATGCTGAAACGGCTCTATCTTTTTTGACCGTATTTTTATTTGACATGGAAAAAAAAGTAAACACATATATTGATACAGTTAAAACTAATATCGAAAATAAGGTAAAAGAGAGTTGCATAAAAGAAAAAAAAGCTTTTAAAAAAAGAGAAGACTTTAAAAAGAAATGTTTGATAAAAGCTAGAGAAGTTGCAAGAAAAATTAATATTTTGGCCAATAAACCAAGCTTTGATGCAAGTGTCATCAAAATGAACTTTAAAACCATTTTCAAAACTTGGATTGAGGAAGCTAGGCTTGAGGATGAAAAAAACAATAAACCTGTAGATTCACTTATAAGTGAATTATGGAATAAATTGATAGAATGTTTTTTAGATCAGCCAATTTTCTTTAACATGAATCCATCAAATATTAACAACGATATCAAAGAAAGTTTAGATTTTATTAAAAACTTATATAGAAAAGAAAATTTTTTCGAGTATGTTCGTAACGAACCAATAAAACTAGTCCATTATAACAACGCTTACTCGCTTTTTATTAACGAAACTGAAGCTTATAAGAAAGCAATACCAAAACGTGATAAAGTTATAGAGGAAACTAAAGCTATTTTAAATGATTTTAAAGTTGAGATGTTTCCTAACTATGTTTTCGTTATATCTAAAATTTTGGATTCGGCATTGAAAAATCTTTCTGGTGTTGTACATACTAATTTTGAGTTTGATAAAAATTTTAAAATACGTTTTTTAACAAAATTATTTGCCGTTTCCGTAAATGAGATTGCTTATTTTGAAGAAGAGCAGCTTCGAAAAAACTCACTTAGTATTTATTTACAAAGCAAAGAAGACAACTTGTTTAAAGAATTTGAAGATGAATGCTTAACTGTTAACAGTGATGTTTGCCAAGGAGTCAGATTTATCAAGGATATACTCTGCCCAATTATCATTGAAGAAATAAAACTAAAAGTTGGATTCACAGTCGTAAGTGAAATGAAAAAGAAAAAAATGTTCAGTAATAAAGAAATTATGCTTTACTACCTTCATGAAGAATTTCTGAACGCACCCTTTATTCAGATAATGAGCTATCTTAAAGACTACAATAGCTATATCAGTTCATGGATTGAAAAAAAGGTACTTCGTATTTAAAATTTTTAAATAAAGTTTTATTAAAAACATATTACTTATTATATACTTATAACTGCTCAGGTACAAAGTTCGCATTGCAAATGTAGATGAAAGTTTGCTCTGTTACTGATTTGTTTCATATTACGTTGTAATAATCTTTTAATTAATCTTCTTCACGTTGTAATAATCTTGACTTTAGGTTTTAGAAATTTACGTAAATATTACACATTTTTAGATTTACTACAAAATATTCCTGTTAGATTTAATATTCAATGTTTAATTGGTTTTTTTTCAACATTTTAAAAACTAAATGTTTACTTTTCTTTCTCACAGCATAGGTATTTTTGCTATTGTTTTTAGAGCTGTGTTACAATGATGTAATGAATTTTTTGATGGTATATAGGGTTTATTTTAGTATTATTTAGCTTATTTTTTTACAGACGTCTCTATTTAATTTATTTTAATAAATTAAATAAATCTCCCATTGGAAAGGCTGGACTGTCTCGTAACGTTATCTGATTTTCTAACATTGGTTTAATTTTATGTACTATACTTTATTAATATTGTATGCTAAAACATATACATTTAGCCACAATATAATGAAAGTAATATTTTTGCACAACCTTAACTTTTTTCAAAAAGAGTGAGAAAATACAGATACATCTCCTACTAAACGTTTCTAAACATTATTTATTAAGCTAAAGTGTAATGAGCAATTTTTCTTCAAATTCTTATCAAGTACTGAAGTCTTTGAGAGGTGTCAATTATTTAAGTAAATATAGCGCACGAGGTGTTTCATTTGAGCGATAAAGTTTTCTGCAGAGCAACATTTTTATGGTAAAATCTGTAGAAATTACCATACTTCAGAAAAGCTTGTTTTTTACCCGTTAAAATTTAACAAACTAACAATTTCTTAAATTTCGGACTTTTTAACTTATGTATATTACCAAGAACATTACCGTTTTTTTAAAAAAAAAAAAAAAGCATGCTTTCAATTTTTTAGATTTTGCATTAAATAGCTTTTAAATGTATTTTTTGATTTTTTTACACTAAAAAATAATAAAATAAAGATAATATTCAAAAAACAAAACGATCAATGTGGGATCTAGGGAGAATCGGAAAAGAGGTGCACACAACTTACACATTATTAGGAAATTATGCTTCGCTTTTAGATAAATGTGTTACTTTGCAGTTTTCAGAAATGAATATCAAATTCAACTTGGTTTCATTTTTTGAAGCAATGTCAAAGTGTGAAATTTGCATTTAAAAAACACAAAAAAATAATAGCATTAAGTAATAACATTAGAAACATTGGAAAAGGTAACTAATGTTATTTTTAATATATGACCCTACCCTAACCCTGAAGAATGTTTAAAACAATAAATACTAACGTTTTCTTTATCAACTAATGAAAAGAATCAAATTACTATTCATTGTTGTTGTCTATCACATAACTAAATTCAATAAAAAACTTTTTCTTTATATTATAACACTTTTAATAAAAAAAATTCTTCTTTATATTATTATACTTTTACTACTTCATAAATTTTGTATGCTCTCAGTACTGCAATTATGATAACTCTGTTAAACAATGCTTTGTTTGAACGTTTTACGTTTTAATTTAATATTGGCAAACTTTTTGAAGGATCGCAATAGGTGTTTAATGCATCTTAGAGAAACTTGGAGCAAGATTGTTTATTTTAGTAAACAAACGTTGCATATCAATTCCAATTGGTCAAGGTGGAGAAGTAGTGTGTATCTTAGCTTGAATCCTTCATACCTGACCTTAAATGAAGATAAGCAATTATTGTATTTTTGAAGGATCAAAGGGGTAAACACCAGATAACTTATAAACTTTAGAGACTAATTGATAAGTGACTGGTTGCTCAATGCATTTGTTTACAGTTTTTGAAATACAAACTTGTATTTTCTTTAGGATTTGTTTTTTAGAAAAGTATTAGCACATTCATAAAAATAACATTTAAAAGTTTTAAGTATTACTCAATCTAGATGGTGCAGATAGTGAGTTATTGGGCATTGTATGCATAACAGTATTAGGATATTTTGAAAACAAAAATCCAATGTAAAAAAGAAGTAGAAGATGGATAAAAAAAATTTTGTGCTTGGTTTTCTAGGAACAAAAGTTAATTTTAATCAATAAACAAAAACATTTTTTGTAACACATGCTGGTTTTTGCTATATAGAAATGCATGCTTCAGCTGATATTTTATCATGATACTCATTTAAAACTTTTTGACATTCATTTAACATGCAGGTGGTAAAATTAAATCTTCAGCATTGCATCACACATTTATCGAGTGAGTAAACAGTTGACATACATCTTTGGTTTCATGCAATAACTTAACCAGGATAATAACTCAACCACTTTCATTCAAGTTAAAAAGTAACATGGCTTGTTAAGTTATTTATTTTTATTTATTATAGGATGTTATAAATTAAAGTAATTTTTTTATTCATCTCAGTTCATACTTTAATATCTAGAAAGTTATAGTCCTTCTGCTTTTCCTCTAGAGAAAAATAATAATCATAAATTATATATAAATTATCTAAAAAAAAATTAAGCATGACTTGCCATTTTGGAGACCTTGTTAAAATTATGTTTTAAAGTTAATCCTTTTTCAAATTTAAATACAAGACATCGCAACTCTTTTGCATGCTTTGAAACGCTTTTTTGCATAATTTTCACATGTTCAATTATTCGCTTGTAAATTTCTAAACTAAAAATAGATGGTGGACATTACATTTTTTTTAAATTCCAAGTTTTTGTGTTTTATGAGAAAAACTATGGAATATTGCTTCCCTACTGACAAAATATTTTTGTAGATGCTCTATTGTTACATCAAGCCTTTCAGAGGTCCATCTTTCACAATTGCACTGCTTGCGTTGTATTGTACATTAGTATAGTACATTGCGTTGTATTGTATATTGGGCTCTTAAGTATGTATTACGATTGTTACATTAATAAAAAAAAAGTCAAGGAACACAAAAATTAATATAAGATACAATAGGAAAATACATAAATATAAACGCAGAAAAACCCCAACAAGTTCAACATCTGGAAAAAGATAATGAATACTAAACAACAATGGAAGCTTTAAAGTACGAATGATCCTAAAAAAATATAATTACAAAACCTTAAAAACTATAACTTCAAAATTTTTATTAAAAATATAAAAATAGTTTCAGCAAAATTTTGAAAAACATTTTAAACAAAACATAAATAGGAGCATTGAAAAACATAAATAGGAGTTACAACTAATTGGAAAACAAGTTAGATAACAATAAAATAAACAGTTATAAAAAAAAGTAATAATAGGAATGAAAAAATAGTATTACAAAGCAAAATAATTATAAAATATTTTTTTAATATTATATGCTATTCTATTCAAATGTTTTTTTTTATATCTTTTTAAAAATGATTGTTTCGTTCATATTTTGTAGTAAACAAATTTTGTATATTCAAAATTAAATGTTGTTTGCATTCATAAATTTGTTAAATGAAAAACGTTAAAATTCATATTCAGTATCTTATCTTTGTAGTTTTAACTTGTAACTTAAACACGCTTTTGCATTTTTCGTATTTTTACATTTTAAATATTTCTGTGGCTTATTGTGAAAGAATTTTAATTTTCTTTAAGTTGATAGTAAAACACATTAAGCCAGAAAGTTAGTCGATTTTTGATTAGGCAATCAATACTAAAAAAAATATGCAATTCTTTTTTAAAATTAAAAAGGTAAGATAATTGTAAGATAAACTCAGATCCAGCAAAGAAAGTATTTATTAAACCCAAAAGATTTCCAAGCTCGATAATAGGATATTACTTTAATTCATTGTATGACAGTTAGATCAGCAAATGTACATCTGGATAAATATCTTGTCTTTAAACTACACATGTAAATAGTTTGACCATGTTATTACCAAAGATAGAAAATTGGTATTTTACGTTAGCCACATCAGGAAGCACTGCTGTTTTTGGCAGTAGCAACCGATAAAACCATCTCCTTAAATTTTTTATAAATTCAAAACAATCTTGCTCGAGATTCAAAAACCACCAAAAGAAAAGGCAACTGTGTATTATTTTAGATAAAAATAACAACTTAAATTTAATAAATAAAAGTAATGGTGCGCACCAAAGTTCCGTATTTGCTTCCCTTTTGTTTCTAATTTACACTAACGAATTTCCAAATGTTTCACAGAGCTTTAAAACTATAATGTTTGCAGATGATACAAACTTATTATACTCCGTAACAACAATTGAAAACTTATTTAAAAGAACAAATAATGGGCTTAAAAAACTAAAAATATGGTTTGAGACAAATAAATACTAGTTATTGAAAAAACTAAACACATAAAACTTTACTCCAATTAACAAAAAATAAGCTACCCGACATTTCCAATAATTAATATAGAAAATATATTATTGAAAGAACTCAAAATGCAAAATTTTTAGGGGCTTTGATTGATGAAAATATATCTTGAAAAAACCCATATCAGTTGCACAAACACACAAATATCAAAGAATATAAGTCTACTCTAAAAACACCATTGTTGTCGCAAAATAATCTAAAACTTACTTTTCTTTCACTCATAGCTAAACTATTTATATATAAATATATAAGCTTTTAAAACAAATAAACATTTAATAATTAAAACAATTATACATAAGTATGTTGGTTCACTATGCATATTCTTGTAACATAAGTTCACTTCTTCATATTTCAAATCTTCTTAACTTTCGACGCAATGTTTAATTTTATCTTTATTGCTGTTCGCACGTCCTTTGATGAAACTTCCAGTATCTGACAGGCACAAGCTAAAAATGCAAAAGAGTTAAGTTGAAATACAAGTATTGATTTTTTTTTTGTTTAATAAAGAAATTTAAATGTGTAATTAGTTACCAACACCATCAACAAGGTCTTGACAAATTTTCGGTTTTGGTACTTTGTCAGAGTGAGCATTACTTTGCTTTCCAGATAAACAGACA